TGTAGTGATCACGAGATCTAGCAGCATGTTAAGGAAAGCACTAGATTCAGGTCCGGTGACTCTCCGTCGCTGCTAGATCTCGTGATCACTACACAAAAGAATGACATGACGCCACAGTCGCACCCACCTCTTGGTAAAAGCGACCACGCCATCATATTGATCAAAGTGTGCATGCGACAAGCTAGGGCACCGTCCAAGTTGATTAGAAATTTCGGCTGTATGGATCTAGGGAACCTCAGAACTAGGGCATCGGAGTTGGTAAGGGATGCTTCGGAGGGGGCTAGTATAGAAGACCACTGGATGTTAATTAGGGNTAGGGACAGATTCGTGGATCTGCAAAGCGAATTTGCTCCGTTGAAACCCAGCCGACGCAGCGATAAGCCGTTGTGGTGGAGGGCAGCCATAACCAGGGCCATCAAACAACGAAATGGGTACTGGAAGAGCTTTAGAATTCCAGGAAACCAACAAGCGTGGATTCGACATAGAAGGTTTAGAAATGAGGCGGTCAGGCTAATACGAAAATCCAAAATGCAACATAAGCTTCGGCTGGTCTAATGCGCCAAAATCAAACCAAAGAAATACGATAGCTACGTTCAGTCCAACGGAGCATTAAGAGATGGCATAGGACCAATAAGAATAGACGATCCAGCAGTCTTCCTGGGCGACCAGGATAAAGCAGATGCATTGGCGGGTTATTTTGGCAGTGTATATAAAATAGATGACGGTATGCTAGGAATACTGGATGGAAAATCCTCACCGCCAGAAATTGAGGAGATTCAGCTATCGGAAGAGATAGTGGGCCAGCATTTGGAAGGTCTAGACGTTGATAAGGCGGCAGGACCGGAAGAGATTCGTCCAGCTATCATCAAGTCCACAGCAGACATCCTCGCAGGACCGGTGTGTAAGCTATGCAAAGCTTCACTAGACCACGGCATTCTACCGAGGGACTGGAAGGTAGCAGCAGTGGTGGCTATACATAAGGGGGAAGCCCGATCGGAGGTAGGTAACTACAGGCCAGTCAGTATAACTAGTATTTTGTGTAAGGTGTTAGAAAAAAATGTATGTCAACACCTAACGCAGCATTCCATGCTGTGTTTAACTCAATATGGGTTCCTCAAAAGTAGATCGTGTTTGACTAATCTACTGTGCTTCTTGGATGAAGTTATCAGAATATTAGACGAGGGGCACAGGGCAGATGTATGTTATCTTGACTCTAGCAAGGTGTTTGACTCGGTCCAGGTTGAGTGGATCTATTAGGAAACTTAGAGGAAAGTAAGAGGCAAGAAGATAAAACTGCGGTTGCAAAACTGTCGGTTGAAAAACCGCTACAGTCTCACTTCCTCGGTAATCGGGTAGTAAACACCTGGAACCGACTGCCAGAAGAGCTAATAGAACTACCTTCGGTTCAAACGCTCATGTACCTTAACGTCTCTCTCCGGGCAGGTGAGATGAGTTGTCCTTTCCTTTCTTTTTTAGCAGGAGAGCTGACGGATTACTCGATACAGTGGTGGATACCTGACCTGTGCATGCCACCGAAAGAACTCTGGACGCTCGATTGGTCGTGTCCATTTCCTGTCCTGTGCAAAATGAACTAAACGGAACTGTCAAGTTAATATTTCAGAACGGCATTATCGATAATTCAGTTTTAATGTCCGAAGTGATTAGCTTGCATTATATGTTTCTCGTGAAACTCGCGACTTCTGAGAATAATTGTCTGGTTTGTATATTTATTTCTATTTTTTTAATTTTTATATATATTTATATCATCATCAGTTCGAGTGATTACTCTGGAATGTTTTCCAAAAACAGTGCAATGTTATTATCTTACCGTAGTCTGTTTACTCATGATAGTCACTAACGGAAGTTGGAGGTGAAAATAAGGGTTCAGTTGGTTGTCGCTACTGGGCGTATTCTGTAGTCCCCTTCTGCATAAACCTCTCCAAACAAGCCATCAATGCACCACTTCTCTGATGTACAGACAACTGGCTATGAATCACGTTGCAATCTTTAGATTCAATTCAATGCCAGAAATGTCCACATTTCTAACCAACCACGATGAACCATAATGTGATTTAATAAATTAGGGCATCATCTCAACCCAGCCTGACGTCCAGCACGTGGGGCACCACTCGACGGATTGGGATGAACGTACCTTGCAACCACTTATATACATTATGAACGTTCGTTCATACAAGCAAAAACATATCATTAACTAAAACTTCAAACTTTCCAAAAAATTACTTGTTTCTTTGTGCTAATTTTAAATACACCACATACATGGACTAAATTTGTCCCATTTTTAGAAGAAACGGTGGTAAACTAGCAAGATACTCAGTTTTCAGGTCAGGTTCGGTCAGTTCAGGTCAGGTTGCACAGGAGGCCTAGCGGCCACGGCCACTGGAGCTTTCAGATTTCTTCCGGCAGTATGATCGCAAAATATGCATTCATCACTGGAAATTGCCTCCAATACAATTTCCTTGCTGCACCTGTCGAAGCGCATCAAGAACACTGGAGCTGGATCGCGAGGGAAAATGGGCGCTCGTTTGGCATCAGCCGCGATTCGTATGACCTGACCTGGGAAGAAAGGGTAGAAAGCTCCTCACCTTTCCACCTCTTCAGCTAACAGGGAACATGTATCATGAAGGCGTTCCGTAGTACACTGATAATCCTATTCTGGAAAGAGTTCCATCCATAGCTCATCCGGAACGTGCTTAAATGCAGCAACGCTTCTTGAATCTACTAATTCCTTTGGTAACCGCTTCCAACTGTTCACTTCTCTGTTACTGAAGAAGCTCGGTCTAGCAACCAGGTCGCACCTCTGTTTACGCAGTTTGTATCCATTCCCTCTAGTTCCTTGGTGGGTAGCCTCCTGGAACATGCTCTCTTTTCTGACTCTCGAGAGTCCTTTCACATTCTCAAAGGTCTCAGTTGTCTCCCCTTGGTCATCATCGACATAAGCTTCAATGTTTCCAAATGCAGAGTTATTTCCATGCGGCACAAAACTCGTTTTTCCTATGTTCTGGGAAACCAAATACTACCGCATGCCACTGATGAAAGGGATTTGGGAGTTATGGTACAGGACGACGTAGGATGTTCCACGCAGTGTCAGAGCATCATCCATGACTCTAAAACTAGTTGGACTACTCAGACGTGTTTTCGGGCAGTTCGAAAGAGCACTGTTCCCAGGCTTTTTTCTTTTTATTACACAAAGTGAATTACAGTAAACGGGGAGATCCCCATGGACAAATGGTATACAGTAAAAGGGATAGTAGGGCGACATTCACGTAAGATCCAATTTATTGATTCTGCTTTTAAAAAGTGTGAGATTGTAAGTTGGGGGGAAAATAGCAAGTGGGAGGGTGTTCCACAGTTTGGCAGTTCGGGGAAAAAAAGAAGATTGGAGTAGAGAGGTACGACAACCTGATAAGGATGACTAGATGCCTGTGTACGAGATGGACGGGAAAAAGTTGCAGGAAGAGTAACTGCCGAGGCAAGTTCCGAAGAACAAAAACCAAAGTAAAAGAGGGACAATAAAGCAACTGTCGGACAATGTGCTATCGACTGTAGACTGGATGTTAGGGAAGGATCGTCGATTAGCCGAATGGCCTTTCGTTGGACACGATTAAGAAGGGAAAGGGAAGAAGATGAAGCTCCACCCCACACGTGACTACAGTATTCAAGAGCAGGGCGGATGTGAGCTTTGTACAATAGAAGAAGATGAGCTGGGATGAAATAATGTCTGGCGCGAAATAGAAATCCAACCTTGCGCGCAGCACTAGAAGCGGGCTTGGTTATAAAAAGGGACCAGCATAAAGAAGTAATAGGCAGTCCAAGAAGGAAAACAGAGTCTGTGGAACGCAGTTGGGTGGAATCAAATGATAACTAGAGGGAGAACGAATGGTGTTTTAATGAAATTGAACGAAGAGATGTTTTGGAACTGTTGAACGAAACGTGGTTTGCAATGCCCCACGAGGAGATGTGTTCGAAATCGGAGTCCAGTGACGCAGTAACTGCACTACGGTCACCATCGATGTTGTTTTGGGCATG